TAATAAAGTCTCAGAAATCACCAGCATAGACTTAGTAATGATTTAAGGCAAATGTTTCACCTGCTTTCAGAAATCCTCCACATGTTTCACACACAGCCCATCTGCTTTATGTCCCTTCCCCTGTCTTTAGGAAGTCATTAATCTCAGTTTTATAAACTAACCTGAGCTGCAAATGAAATGCATTGTGAACATAGCGCAGAGAAGTCTTTTCAAAGGGCTCTAAGGAAACATATTCGTTTAAGACCAGTATAAATGAACCCGAACAGACTTGTGAGATGAGTTAGAGAAAAGTGGTTGAGATGCAAATATGTGTGTGCTTACTTAGAGTTTTTAATATTTGTATCCATACTTTGCGGATTGCAAAAGTAAAAATCATTTCAGTTCTCATCTGGTAGTTTAAACCAAGTGATTAATGGCTCCGTGTAAAAATCTCCTTACAGAATTTCTGATCTCCCTCACACCGTATCGGCAGCCCCCAAATTCACGAAATTCACCAAATGGTCTGACACTTACAGTAAACAGAATTACCTGTACTGAGAGAGCCCTGTATCGAGCAACTCAGCTTAAAAAGGGAATAACAGAAAACAGGTTTAACGGTAATGAAGATACCCTTCTAAAATTACTTTCTAAATATTCACTGAATGCAAATCCATTTCCCCTCATTGTGTAGTCTAAAAGCCTATGAATAATGAACTGATGTGACCTGCACCCACAGAAGAGAGAAGGCACACATGGAGGATGCGTGGGCTTAGTCTGGAAATGATGACGAGGTCTTAAGGAAATCAGGAAGAAAGCAAATGTGGCCGTTTCTTCTGTTTGCTTTTGGGGCTGACCTATTTCTGACGACTCTGAGAATAAAGTTATTACTGAGTGAGTCACACAGAAAACACAGGCAAACAGAAGCGTATTGGGAACACCTTACAGGTTAGGCTTTCGTTGGGCTTGCAAGGGTAAATGTAAAACTTGGATAGTACAAAGTGGCCCCAAATGATTAACTTGTAAAAGAAAAAAGTGTGTATATCTTTAATTTTAACTGACCAAAAAAATCACAAAAATGATACATTTTCATGGAGCGCCATGTAATGTTTCAATATATGTACATATACATTGTGGAACCAGTTTAAACAAACATATCCAACCCCTCCCTCAAACATTTATCTCCTCTTTATGAGGAAAATGTGCAAAATCCTTTATGTTTTTTGAGATACACAGAATATAATCATCACAGTCACCCTACTATGCAATATGACACAAGAATTTCTTGCTCCTATGCAGCTACAACTTCATACTTTATCAACTTCATATATCTTTAAGTGACAATCACAGCAGGTCTTTTTTTAAATCCAAAAATTAATCAAACTCTGATTTTTTTGGAAATTAATTTCTTTTTTGACGCTGAGGAATGATCCCAGGGTCTTCCACAGGCTAAACAAATCCTTTAACCCTGTGCCACATACCCCAAGCCAAAACCCATTCTTTCATTTGGAGAATCAACGTAACAGTATCAATTGGCATGAAGTATACAAGCACAATGCTAAGGGAAAATTTGGAATCATAAACTGCAGAAGAAATATTTTGATCTTCCAAGAAATAAACTCAACTCTGTACCTTTGACAGATGAACGATGCATAAGCACAGTGGTGCCCTCCTTTTGAGATTATTTGTTTAACAATAAAATGTGTTTTCTGTTGTGGATTCAAAGTCTTGGAAATTATGGTTGGGCTTGTTGAAGAAAGCTTCCCAAGCTTTGAAGTATTACATGACATGATATAGCGTCTCATGTTATATTTTCCAAGCTCCTACTGATAGGTCATGTTCTTATTTCCGTGTGACACTGGTACTGACTTACCACTGGCATAAAACACCTGCTATTTCAGGTGCTGAGGACAAATAGCTACAGAAAATTTAAGTCACAACTGCAGAGCAATCAACCTACCCTCAACAGGAAACTAATGATATAGTAGCTTTTTAAAGGGGCAAGCTTAAACAAAATCAAAAGAAATATAGAACTGAGGAAAAAAAAAAAAAAAAAAAAAGCCATCTCATGAGGAAGTGAGGCCTTTCAGAAAATCATTTCCACAATTGAAGAGAAATAGACAGCTCTGGACACAACCGCAGCATACTCAGGGCTCCACCCTGGGAGTGTGTTTATCCTCCAACTTTATCAACCGCAGGGCAGATGCCAGCCGCTAAGGACACGTTGCCTTAATGTGTATGAAGTCTCTCGTTCCTGCATAGTTAACATTGCTATGAGACCCAGACTCTTTTCTTTTTGTTCAAGGAATTCTGTTTCCAGCCTAAAGAAACTCATTAGAGTGTATTACTTTAAGGAGGAATTGACTGAGATTTGTTCTAAACTCTAAAAGCATTTTGTTCATGTCTCCTTTATAATTTTCATGTTCAAAAGTACTTGAGTTCATGGAGATATCATTTATCACATTAGATGTACTTTATTTATTTATTTATTTATTTATTTATTTATTTATTTTGAGACAGGGTCTTCTTATGTAGTTCAGGCTGGAATTAAACTCCCTCTGCACCCCAAACTGGCCTTCAAACTCCTGACAATCCTCCTGCCTCAGCCTCTCAAGGGCTCGGATTGCAGGCATGCACCACCACACCCTGCTTTAATTTACTTGCTTGCCACCACCAACTTGGACATTCTAGTGGACAGGAATCTCTACCTCTGAAAACTCAGGAGCACCTGATTTCTACTCCATTTGCCTGAGCCTTACTACACACTATTCCCCATGAATGATAGAGTTTTAGAATTTTTCTGTCTGGATTCTTCAAAGAGATGGAAGGCAAGAGCAGTGTCATAAATTTCTACGTGCTTGCTACGGAATATGTCTCATTGCCCACAATTGCGGTTGCCTCTGTTTATGTCTAGCTACCTCAGTTACTGACCATATCTTTCTCATCTTTATATTTTAATGTCTGATATAATACTCATACCATAAAGATAGTTGTTGAATATTTGAAGAAATAAGTAAATGAGTGAATAAATGAAACAATATAATTAAGTGTCCAGGCAACTCAATAATCACTAATCATTATTTTTAGTTTTCTGATTTTATTCAATAGAAAATAACCTACTTAGAAATATGTCTGAATAAAACCCTTTAAAAGAAAGGTTGCCTTTGTCTTTCTTTATGAAGACACAGATGCTTAAAACACAAAGGTATAACATATTTTTAATTATGCCCTTTGTTAGGCTCATTGGCATCAAGCTCGGTTTTATTTATCAAACAACTTATGCTAAATTATCAAATCCTATTCAGAGAAATCATACGCAAGTGTCATTAAAAATATGTAGCTACTATTAAGGTGTTTTTACAATACTAGGTAAAGTCCTAAGACTGATTATATGACAAACATGATGGATTTGAACAACTTAAGAAAATTCTCTTCCCCACCTAGCTCAAAGCTAGTGTAGACACTCGTACCATCAACAAAATCCTATTTGCTTCCCACCAAGACAGGTGGGCCACAGATGCCTGGCCCCAAAATGCATGTCTAGAATAACCTCTTCCTGTACCTTAGCCACTGACAAATAACCAGATTTTTACTCATATGAGATTCACTGCAGGAGTACGATGATTATATAACATTTAATTAATGATGGCAAGTCAGAGATGTTTTAAATTATCAAATATTATGGCTGAGTTTTGCACTCCTTTATATGCTGAAATCCTAATCCCTAATGCCTCCAGTGTGACTGCAATCAGAGATAGTGTTTTAAACAGTGAAGTAAAAATAGGTTTGTAGGCTGAGTCCTCACACCAGATGAATGGTATTCTCATTAGTAAAGGAAATGAGGACACAGGTACAGTGAGGAGACAGCAACCCTTGAGAGGTCTCGGGAGAAAATCATTCTGCCACCACACTGATCTCGGTCTTCCAGCCTCCAGAGTTGCGAGACAACACATATCTTTTGTGGCACCTGCAGTACTTTGTGACAGCAATCTTAATAGACCAACATACCAGGTACATATCTTCTCGTTCCCTGTCTCATTCAGTAGTCAAGACAGGCATGTGAATTCTCCCCATTTTACAGATAGGAACACTAAAGTTCCAGAGACATTAAATGTCCACTCTGATGCTATTCAGTGAACAGAAAGCATGAGAATGCCTGGACTCCTCTAACTCCAAATGCCACTCAGCCTTTGCTTTCCACAGACCATGGACTAGAAGACCCCTGGGCTGTGGTCTCAGATACCTCCTAAACCAGTTGCAGAATCTTGAGAAAGTCATTAAGTTTTTGGTATCTTCATTCTTTATTTGCCAAATAAAGGGGTTGGATTAAATATTCTAAAGGCTAGACTATGGGTCTACATAAGAACCATTCTAGTTTTGAGGATTTAGTTCAAATCGTTGTTTTTCCATCCAACTCTTAAGGAAATTATGACTGCAAACTTTCAAAATTGAAAGAAAATTCAGTAGAGACTCACTATCCCACAGAATTTAAGCCTGCATTGAAAGAATGCACATAAGTGAAAAGGTTTTGAAATATTATGATCATAACTCATTTAACAATTATTTTTATAGGGCCTGCACCTCACTGTTAAGGAGTTCTCCATTCTGAGCTTTTAAGAATTGAATATGACCTCATGAACAAAACACAGGATCAATATTTTCTATCAGAAAATTTGAGTTCCAGTCTTCAAATCCTCAATGAACAACTGAATAATCTTGAGTGGAAAAAGAAAAATCTCTTGCACGTTCTCTTGTGTGCATCCATCCAATCACGGAAAGACAAATCAGCCTTCGGGCAAATCAGCCGTCTTCATTTAAAGCTTACCTGGCTTTGGCACTCTGCCTGTTTTTTCAAATCTCTATATAATGTACTTTCACAAAGAGTTAGAGACCTGCATGCTGAAAAACATTACATTTTGCAACACTAGTTTGTTTTTTTTTTTAAAGCAGGGAACTCTTTAACCCAGGGAAGACAATTGCTTGGGAAAAGGTAAATTTGCTTCTGAGTTAGCAACACATGAACACAGGGTTAGTGGGTGGGGTTGAGGTGAGCCCTGGTGCATAAATAGAGAGGCTCCGCGCTGCACTGCGGTGCACTCGAAGCTTGGACCGCTCCCTGGCAGCTCTCAGGCAGGTGGGCGGGGAATCCAGGTAAGGCCCTGGACTACACCTTGCAAGGGCTCTTGCTAGCCTGAGCTTCGGTCTCTGATTGCCGCATAAAGCTGCAGGCAATCAACAATGGACAGAAATGCAAGTTTCCCAGGGTGATAAAGCCTTACAGTAGGGATTTGGGGTGGAGACAGTGGAATTTCTCCAAAAGCCTCCGGAGGCCTCCTTTGGCTGGAGCTGGCGCAAGGTTACATACCTGAGCGGATTCACAGTGATCCCTTCCCCTTTGGTAAAGCGCAGGTGTGGACCTGGGCCAGCTCCTTAATTTTCAGCCTGGGATAGGGCCCAGCAAACTTGATCACCCTCTCGTGTTCTGCTTCTGTCCCACTGGCTAACTAAAGGGAAAGCCAACAGGCTTCTCAACTTTGAGAACACAACTCAGGGGCTCCCTTAGAATAAGTACTGCAGGTCAGGAAACAGTTGTCTTTTGCTAGGCGGTGTCTGTAGAATGCGTGCTGCTTCTGTCTTCTAATTCACGGGCTAGGCTTGCAGAGGAGAGAGCTGGTCGCTCTCCTGCAGCATAAAGGAGCAGGGACACTGAGCTCTCCTGCAGGGTCACACCTAGCTAATGCAGGGCTCGGGTGACCGTGAGAAGAGCTGTTTTCCACAGTGTCAGTGTCAGAGTGTGTGTGTGTGTGTGTGTGTGTGTGTGTGTGTGTGTTTCTCTAAATTATCAATACTTTCCCAAGTCAGACAGTGTTTTGAGAACTGTATGCAGTGAGTCTCTTCATATTATGAAAGAGCAGGATGTTTGTACAGCAGGAGTTATATTAGTCCTCCGTAAATGACTAGGCCATAAAACATGTGTAATAAATCAGTAGTTCCAACCTGTAATCCATGGAGCTATTGCAAGATTATTGTTTTTTTGTTTTTTTTTTGAACCAGGGATCGAACTCAGACCCTTGCACTTGCCAGGGAAACACTTATTCTACTGAGCCATCTCCCCAGCCTTTTTTTTTTTTCTCAATTTTTTAAATGTATTTTTAGTACAGGGTCTGACTACACAGATTGGACTCATAGTGATCCTCTTATTTTCAGCCTTCCGAGTGCTGGGAATACAGGCACTTGCCACCACGCCCAGTCTCAGTGGCCATCTCAGCATACCCCGGGGGAGGGCAGGGATCGAACCCTAGTCCCTGCAACTGCCTAAACAGGCCCAGTAGTCTGCTGAGCTATCTGGCTGGCCCTATTGTTTTCTTTTTGAGATATGGTCTCACCAGGTAATTCAGGCTGGCCTTGAGCTTATTCTGTAGCCCAGGTTGGTCTCAAAGTCAAAGCAATCCTCCTGCCTCAGCCTCCCGAGTGCTGGGATTACAGGCCTGTGCCACCACACCCCGTCTGTAAATGTACTGCTAAGCAAAGATTGTTCAGTCTCCATGCAGACTGTCAAAAATTGCTAATGACAATTATATTTCGAGTCATCATGGTGGGGGATTGGGAAAAGTTTTCAATTAGCAATAATCATACCTCAGATAAACCTCACTGACTACAACATGCCACTGAGAAAAACTTGCAAGGAGTTTTAATGGCTATTTGTGCAAGAATGTTCAATGAGCTGAATGAAATCACTTAAGCTCCAATTCACTATTCTATTCTCATATACACATAGATATTATTAAATAAAATACTATATTACCTGTTGATAAAATCAAAGTAATCTATGAAATATTTTTGAAACAAAAATATTTACTTAATAAAATAAGTAAAAATATTCTATAGTAAGTATACACTAAAACATAGTTACTTTTAAAAGTATATTTCATAAGTTCCAGAAGTACAATTCTCACATTAAAGCTCCTTATTTATTCGTTCATTTATTTTAAAGACAGGAGAAGGATTTATTGCTGGAAGTAGATGTAGGACACACTCAAAAGCAGAGTAAAATGAGGCACAAACTAGTTGGGAAACAGAGGGTCTGTCCTGTGCTGGGGGTGGTGCAAGTGTGGAATTTAATGATATACAGCTTTAGTCTTGTCCAGTGGTTAGGAGAAGGTGGCCCACCCATAGTAGATAATGCTCCACCTGTATGGAAACCCCAAAGGGTGGTCCACCGGTGGGTGGAAGAGGTTTCAAGTAAAAAGAAAATAGGCAGGTCCACCTGTCACTGAAAGGGAGTCACCCAGGCTTCTCACATTAAAGTTCTGGATTTTAATATTTAAAAAGTCTCCATATCAAGATGGCTAGGTACCACTGCCTTGTAGTATATGTGAGTTGTTTTTGCAGAAATTTAAAAACTGTTCCTGGCATTTCTATATTTTAAGCATGTAGAAAGTGAAGGAGCTATATTCTTTCTTTCTTTCTCTTTCTTTCTTTCTTTCTTTCTTTCTTTCTTTCTTTCTTTCTCTTTCTTTCTTTCTTTCTTTCTTTCTTTCTCTTTCTTTCTTTCTTTCTTTCTTTCTTTCTTTCTTTCTTTCTGTACTAGGGATTGAGCTCAGGAACTTGAGCTTGCCAGGCAGGTGCTTGTGCTGCTGAGCTATCTCCCTGGCCCTAATATACTCTTTCATTTTGCTTATGTCTTTTCTGGGTGAGACACTTTATGTCTACAGACTAATTCTTGGATAACAACTGGTCAGCTTAATAGAAGGCTTCACTTGGATTCAGTAACCTACCAATGCTTTTCGTTTCTTAATCATCTAATACTTTGTAAAGGTTCTCATTCAAATTATCAGGTCATAAGAAACTTCAGTCCTACAAATATTAAGTAATCCTTGTCCATTCCACTTCCTTTGTTGAGTTCATTAGACTTAATTCAAAACCTACATGTATATTAGAATTAGATACTATAGTTTCATTTTTCTTTTTGAGGAAGTTTACCATTTGGCTTTACCAGAGCCCAAGTCTCCAGCTCTTCGTGTTACAGCCCTGGCAACCCCACGTGACTTCGAATGCAACTTGCTTTGCCAGCTCACTCCCACCTCACCCATAGAATTCCACACTCCTGTTTGTAGTCATCACTTCAGCTTTTCCTAGTAATTAACTATAGAACAGCAAAAGGGAAAAATTAATTTGATGAAAAGATATCCTGGGGCTTATTTCTCTGTGCTATGAATCTCACAGAATACTTTGATGCACTAAAATGCATTCAATAACTGCCTACCTTTAAAAAAGGTCCACAGAAGGGCCAGTGAGATAGCCCAGCAAACAAAGCACCTGCTCTGGCAAGGGCTGGGGTTCATTCCCTGGCACCACATGCTGCACTGGACCCAACCCGTGGCACACTGAGCCTGAGACTGAGTCCAGGCATGGTGGCGTGCACCTGTAATCCCAGTGCTAGGGAGGCTGTAAACAGGAGGATCACTACGAGTCCGAGCTGCATGGTGAGACCCTACACACATACACAGAAAAAAAAAGGTTCATAGAGAATCAAAGAAACTCTGTAGAAGAACTTGACAGCATGTATTAGTCAATTCCCAGAGGATGCAGAGTTTGAAGAAACTACATGAAAGAGAGAGAGTTGTATGAGTCTCAGTCTTCAATTAAGTGACAAAGCCCAAAAGTTCAAAATGCAATGAGCAATTAATTACTTCATTTCTACCTCATTCTTCAGTGGCAATGTTCCTATTTTAGCCATAGATTAAAGCAGTGTCCACGTTTAGGGCATTCATTGCACAGAAGGAAGATGGAAGCCATCCCTCTAACATAGCAAGATCCAGAAGTCTCTGTTCTAGACCCATCTCATAAATCTTTGCATCTCTCTCAAACTTAGGTTCTTCACCTGTATAAAAAGGCACCGAGGAGACAGACAGGAAAAGAGGTGACCTTAGTGCACCTCCTAATACTATCCACTCTAAATACAAACTTGTCATGTAAATTTCTTTAGCCATAGGAGTATACCTATCTGACAAGTTATTTCCATGGAGTGTATCTCTGTTTCTCTTGTGAACCTGTTAGCCATTAACATGACAGTAAGAGATAGACAAATAGGTAAGGAGGTGGGTAGACAAATACCCATACTGTACCTATTTAGAAAATTTTCATGGAAAGGATTTTTACGCTAAGCTCACACACCCACTGCCAACAGAGCCTCCGTTTCTGTTGTATTCCGCTATAGACACAGCCTGTAGATTTTGGAGACTCCTAATCATGTGCTTTTCGTTTGTGTTCCGTACAGATTTGCCATGGAGAAAATTTCAGTGTCTGCATTCTTGTTCCTGGTGGCCCTGTCCTACACGCTGGCCAAAGAAACCACAGTGAAACCCGGAGCTAAGAAGGACACCAAGGACTCTCGGCCCAAACTGCCCCAGACCCTCTCCCGAGGTGGGAGGCAGCTGCTTGCTGGCTTCGGGCTGCTACTTCCTTGGGAAAGACTTCCTCGCTCTTGGGCTGAAGTGTCTGCTCTGGCTGTGTTTGGGGATGCATTATCTCCGGGTTTATCATAGTTTACAAGTCTTTCCACTTTCCTAGAAGTTTTTCTTTTACTTTGCTGTTGGGTATATACTTATCTCGCGTCTTTACCATTGGGTTTCAACAGGTTGGGGCCTAAAATTATAATCTAGTTTTAAATTCATTGTTGTTGTAGGTTGGGGTGATCAGCTCATTTGGACTCAGACGTACGAAGAAGCCCTGTACAAATCCAAGACCAGGTAAGGCGTTTCCACAGGGTCTCGCGACCGCCACCTGGTGGCCGCCGGCTGCCCACAGTCCTGCTCACTAAAACCTCCCCATCGCTTTGTCTCGCGCAGCAACAGACCGCTGATGATCATCCATCACTTGGACGAATGCCCGCACAGTCAAGGTGATTTATTCTCCTAAAATCCTTTATCGACTTAGAGGTAGGGCTGACTGGATCGTTCATCTTTGTATCGTTAGAACCTAACGAATAAGAAAGAATGCTTCAGGTAGTGAAGGCATATTAAATAACTTTGCTTGGTTTATAACTCCATTCTGTGTTAACCATGGGTGCATATTTTAAGGATAAGCCCTAGGATTCATCCTGAACATTTTGATTTTATATCTCACATCCACTACATCCGCAGACACTGTCGGCTTTGCCTTCAAAATGTATCCCACAGCCGGCTCCCGCTTCACCCAGAGCGGAGACGCCTGTCACACAAGCTCTGCTGTCCCTGCCTCAGAATTCTTCACAATTCCTGAGCAAGGGCCCCCGCGTTTTGTGCGCTCTTGGTCTTTCCACCCGCTGCCTATTGCCGCAGTGCCCCGCTTGGCCAGGGTGAGGATGCTGAGCACAAACCAGCTCCGGCCCTGAATGAATTCCTAGGTACTCACGAACGAAATGAAATCCTAATTCCTAACCACGGCGTGGCCAGGGGCTCCTTCCTTTCCACCCTCTCCCCGCGATCTCCCTGCACATCTACCCCGCCTCCTCCGTGCTGCTCCACAAACCTCTGAGCTTGCTCCCACCTCAACGCTATTACTCACGCAGTTCTCTCTGTCCCATAGTGGCCTGAGCCCCCAACTTTTAGCGCTTTAACTCCAAAATGGACCATGGTTTCACTCCAGCGTCCCTCCTCTGAGAGCTGCCCTCGTCACCCCATATCTCTCCAAATTCTTACATCATTTCGTTTTTCCTTGGAAGTACATTTCTCCACCTGCACTTGATAAATATTTACATGTTTGTGTCTAGTCTCTTGCATGCAGCCTCTGAGCTCTATGGAAATAGCGTGTGTTCTTGTTATTCACTCCACTCTCCCCTCACCCTAAAGCTCTGCATAACATTTGGTGGAAATTCAATAAATATGGGTTTTAAAAGAAGTAAGTGGATGAATGAATGAATTAATTAATTAATGGCAAAACAGGCAGAAAATGACATAGATGGTACTTCACAAATCACTTATTAAAGGGCAAGAAAGAATTATTGAAACACAACTCAGAACATGACAGAAAACCAGGGTTTTTAACCGATGTGGAGATGAAGGCTTAATGATTTTTCTTTATATTATAGCTTTAAAGAAAGTGTTTGCTGAAAATAAGGAAATCCAGAAATTGGCAGAAAAGTTTGTCCTTCTCAATCTGGTTGTAAGTTTTTTTTTTTTTCTTCCATTATCACTGACATTTCACCACAAATTCATTAAGAGAAATAGATGATTCATTTTTCAATGCATCTTAGTTATACTGAATTAACCGGGCTGTCTTCCAAATATCCCATCCCACAGATTGGAAATGAGGGGATGTTTCATCTCTTAATACCCTATGTGGCCTATGCTTGTGTTTAGCAATTAATAAGCTTCGCTTGTCTGACAATGACTGCCCTGCGGTCAGCACAGTCCCTGTGCAGTAACAACTGGAAGGCTCTGGGACTTTGCAAATTATTTTCCTACAGTCCTTCCTGCATCATTCCCCTTAATCCCTGCCCTGCTCTCTGAGAGATACAGCTTCTTAGCTGTGGAATCTCGCTGCACCTCCTGGCTTTAACTTTATATGTTCCCACCCTCCTTCACCCATTTCACTGTTCTGTCTCTTCTGTGTTCGAACCTTCTTTCTGTACATTTTTTTCCCCTTTTTTTGTACTGGGAATCAAGCTCAGGACCTCGCGCTTGCCAGGCAGGCCCTCAGCCCACTGAGCTCTCTCCCCGGCGCCTTTCTGCACATTGTTGCTGCTCAGCATACATCTGAGGTCCATTTTCTTCTAAGTCACTCTGCCTAACCATGTCCCTCAAAGGCTCTCTCGTCCCCCTCACTGGCTAGCTTCTTCAAAGAACAACCCATAATTCTTTCCTCTCCCTTTTTCTTTCTACCCCTTGGTGTTGGTGACTTGATAAAGTTCTATTTGGCCCACTTTTCACCTCTGACATTCACCAGGGACCTTAGCTACACCTGGGTAGGTTCCCACGTTCATTTCTGCCCCTTGGCACTGTCATCCGGCTTGTCCACCCAACCGTGCTGCACTAGCTTACAATTAGCTTGAACTCAGGGTGTGCCACACTCAATCACCCAACCCCCCTTTTTTTGAGACCAGTCTCCACTAAGTTGCTTGGGCTGTGTTTGAAATTGCAATCCTCCTGCAAGGACACTATTGTAACATTTTTATAAACTCACAACCATAATTTGAATGTGTGACTTTTTCACTCGGCCTAGTTTACTGCAATGTTACTAAATGACTTCCTGCCTATAAGAAAACCCATCTAATCCCACATGGCTGGCAGGGTAATTGCTCAGAAGACCAAATCAGGGTCAGGATGCCTCTTCTAATATCCCTCTAATAGTCCTGAGCTTTTGCTGAACAGTGACAGTCCTGTGGCACGGTGCACAAAGCCATGTGTGAGCTGGGCCCTGCAGCAACCTGCTGGGTGGTTCCCCACGTCACCCCTTACATGCCTGATGTGCAGTCCCCCCTGAGTGCTCGGCACAGGAGGAAGCTCCATGGCCCCCACCTTTGAAGCTCTGCACGTGCTACTCCCCTGAATGAGTGCTTCTTCTCCACAGACCTGGTTCTGTTCCCTACTTAAGTCTCTTCCTTGCCCCCTTCAGAAATGGTGAGGGCCACCTGCACCCACACACAGGAGGTCCTTGACATACCAACCCTCTAGCTGCAGACTTGCACAGATAAGACCGGACCATGCATTTAGGTTATTTTATGCTTTACATTGTATATTTTTGTCAAAGTTGTACGACACTCACTTTGGGGGACTTACCAATGAACATCCTCCCAGAACAGAACTCCTTCCCAAATCTGGGACTCGCTGCTCTGAGATCATGCCCCACTGCAGGCACCATAGGAGCTGACACCCTGGCCCCAGCATAACATCTCACCCACTATACGCTCAGTGTTTTCTCCTATTTGTGTCTCTCTGTAGACTGCACGCTCATTGAAGAGAAACACTGTTTTGCTGAATACTCACAAAAATCCTCTTTCTACAATTTCTCCAAAAATACCTTCTTCATTTTTTCATGAATCTGAAGTATCTCCTGCTACTTCAACCAAAATATCTTCCCAAAACATCTTCATTCCTTCCCAACTCATCCCACTCGAATTTTCTTGCTCCTTGTGTAGCATGCTTCCAGCTCCTTATCTTATGCTGCACAACACATTCTACTGTATTTCTTACCAATATTTCATGCACACAACTTCTGTCCCCATCTGTATCATAAGTTCTTTGTGGAAGAAATGACCCTTATCATATCTTAAGTCCTTGGCTCCATTAATGGATGCATTGTTATGCTTGCAAGCTAGAAAATAACTCCAGAGTAAGAAAATTAAAATGTGCTTTCTTATTTTTTTTTAATTTTTCAGTATGAAACAACTGACAAACACCTTTCCCCAGATGGCCAGTACGTCCCCAGGGTGCTGTTTGTGGGTAAGTGAAGGTGACAGCGAAGCGCACCACTCTCTGAAGATGGTGCAAATATGGCCGCCTCCTTCTTCTCTCCTCTCCGGTGTCGCCTGCCCCTTCACCACAGTCAAGGTCGGGACTAAGCTCCGACAAGGGCATGAGGCATCCGTCATTTTCATTTGGAGCGTGTGAACTTCTCTTTCTACACATGACTCTGCTTTTTCTGTTTTCCACTTTTCACCTTCTGCTGTGACTACAGCTGAGGAGGAAGCATTGTGTCTCCTGGGTAAAGTATTCCTCGGTTATCATGTCCAGTCACTAGATGGTGATCTCATAAATAGAGCAGAGATCTTCCCTGCGTCTGTCATCCTAATCCCAGAAAGCCCCTTGGTGGGCTCTCAAAACAATTGCTCAACACATGAAATTCACCTTAAGTAAATTGTGTCTGTTGGTCTCAGTCTGACACTAAAAAAAATGACATTCCACTCCTGTTCCAGTAACAGAGTCTGCAAAAGTATAGATGGCTTCTTGGTTTTTCAGAACTAGGGGTTTAATCCAGGGCTTTATTTGGGGCCACATCCCAAACCCTTCTTTATTTTATGAACAAGGTCTCACTAAGTCACTGTGTTGTCCAAGCTGGGCTCAAACTTGGGATTCTCCTGCCTCAGCCTCCAAGAGAGCCAAGATTCCAAGAATACGCCACCAAACCAAAACAAGCCGACATTTTTCACGTGTCCTGGCTTCCTTTTAGGACACTTCTAGGCTCCCTCATTCACCCTCTTAAGGCAAGGACATTTTCTAGGTCTCTATCTCCCTATTTCGCTCTGGGTATGCTTAGTGAAAGTTCAAGTTACATATAAAATACAACAAAATGGAATACATCTGCATAATAGAAGCCTCTTTGATCTCTACTTTTTTTTTTAATTAATTTATTTATTTTGTGTGTGTGTGGCCAGCTCAGCCCACCAGGGGGGCGGGGCTGGCCGGCATGTGGTGCTGGGGGATCGAACCGCGGTCCCTGTGCTTTGCTAAGCTTGTTCTAAGTAGGTGCTCTAGACCACTGAGCCATCTCACCAGCCCCTGATCTCTACTTTTAAAGTATCTATTTGAACAGCAAATTAAAAAATAGTAGTGAGGGACACTGTGTTCATCAGCTTTCCTGGGGCTGAGACACAATGCCCAGTGCCCAAAGCTTACAGAAGTTTCGGGGCAGCTGGACCCAGGCAGGATCAGCGTGGTGGAAGGCTCTGGCACCACAAAGCCGCTTAGTTCATGGGGCCAAAGAAGAAGGGGTGAGTTATAGACCCCAAGGCCACACCCGCACACCTACCCACACACCCTCAGTGTCACCAGTGATCCCGGGCTGCTCCCAAGCCAATCAAAGGACAATTATGCATCGTGCTGGACTTAGTGGCAGACGCCTGAAATCCCAGCGCCGGGGAGGACGTGTCCGGAGGATCACAAAATCAAGCCTAGCCTGGGCAACTTAGCAATACCCTACCTCAAAATTGAAACATTTTTTTAAGGCAGGGATGTAACTCAGTGTGACAGCCCTATGTTCAGTCCTTAGTACCACACATGCGCGCACACACACACACACACACTTAACAATCACAACATGCTTGTTTGATCTTACTATTCTCAGGGGATCGTGTTCTTTCATTCATTGTTTTAAAAACTGAACCAGGGTCGCAGATGTTTCTAAGTTGTTCTTTGTAAAATATGATCGTTTTTAAATTTAGAATAATTCCATTATAGAGAACACTAATGTTTTCACCGAAGCAAACACCTATAAAGAATCTCTCCCCCAACATGCATCATCCTGCTTTGGGGTCACTGTAGACGGGGGGATGGCAGGACTCAGAACCTTCTCCACAAATGGCACCGCGCTTGCGGCTCAGGGCACTAGAAGGGAGGGTGGAGCGCCACGCAGCACTTTCTTCGCAGGCCGTGGCTTCTGAAGCTGCAGGCTTCATCCTGCACTAGAGGCTTCTGGAAGACAATATGGCCCTTCCCTTTCCCTTGCAGACCCATCGCTGACAGTGAGAGCCGACATAACCGGAAGGTACTCAAACCGCCTCTACGCCTACGAACCTTCAGACACAGCTCTCTGTAAGTGGCACCTCCTGTGTGGGTGGGGTCCAAGTGTGGGGCTTCCCTATCTGCAGCCTTTGGACAATGCACCCCTCAGGGACACCACACACCCGGTGGGCCCCACTCACCTGAGCCTTCAGGCACTTCACACGCTCCTTCCCAGTTTTACTTATTTTAATCTCTGTTGAGGATGAATCGTCCAGTTCTCTTTCTGTAGGAGGATTCTATGACCACACTAGCTATATATCGGGTGCTTGCTCAGGCATACAAACAGAACCCCTGTCACAGAACTAATCTGATGCTTTATTCCCTCAAATAACAGAAGTGGTGAAACTAGCCCAATTTGTGGTTAAATTCAGATTCAATTTAAAGATGACCAGGCAAGATGACCCAATTAGCTGCTGTGAATGGAAGATGGGAGTGGGGGGAGACAATGACTTGGGTGGAGCATGGCAGCTAGCTGTGCCCTGTCAGTCCTTTAAAAAAATCTTTCATTAGCACATATTTGCAGCACCTAATAGGGGGAGTTCGTACATGCACATAGCCCCTCTCACCACCCCCCGCTCCGCCCCATTACTGCATCTCTTGGGCCTCTCCTCATTTGCAAAAGATCCACCTCTTTTTTCTATTATCCGTGCTTTTCCCCAAAGGAAACTAGGTTTCATTCTACACATCAGTTCTGATCAATTGTTGCAGCTGCTTAGAACCTCACCGTTCTATATGTAAGCCAGTAGCTACAGGTCGCTATTTTATTTTAAATAAAATGAAAACTAAAAATCCCAGTCTCTTAGTTAACTAACTACACTCCAAGTAGCCAGAGCACAGACAGTGGATCCTACCATGCTCTCTGCAGCATTTTCTCCGGGATGGCACTGAGGTAGGGTACTCTACTGAGAAGGAGGCAGGGCCTGGGCGACAGGAAAGCTCCCTGCTGGCCCACGGGGCATGTGCCCTGCGGAAGCCACAAGGCCGAGGGGAAGCCATCCCACTGCTGCCCGTGTTTGCATCTTAGTAAGACTGACCTCTTTAAAGGCAGTGTCTACACCCAGAACACCACAGCATCGTGCATGGCGAGCACGCAGTGAATACTGTGCTTGTAGAGGACTTGAATGAACAGTGGCTCACTGCCTAGCATGTGGGCATCTTATTTTCACCATATCAAGTGCCTTATTTTCAGAAATTGAGGCTAGCGGTCTAGAAGTCTGGACCTTGGAGCAGAAGTCCTATTACTTTTTTAAAAATTATTATTATCATTTTAAAAATCATGTTATTTGGTACAAGATCTTGATACACAGCTCTGAGTCATAGTGATCCTCTTATCTCAGCTTCCCCAGCACTGGGATTACAGGTGTGTGCCTCCAAGCCAGGCTTGGGGCTGGTACCACATACCTGGCATTCCGAGCCTGGTGTGACACGTGGTCCTGGGGATCGAACCTAGGTCCTTCCACTTGTCAGGCAGGTGTTTAGACCACCAACCTATCCTCCAGCCTGCTCCCCACCTCCCCCCCCCTTTTTTTTTTTTTTTTTTTTTTTCTTTTTTGTCCAGACAGGGTCTTGCTATGCAGCTCAGGCTGACCTTAAGCTCACTTTGTAGCATTTGTAGCCCAGGCTGGTCTCCAACTTGCAACAATCCTCCTGCTTCAGCCTGTCCAGTGCTAGAGTTACAGGCATGCGGCACCGCACCTCGCAACCCCATTATTTCTTAGCACATGACCTTGAGCAAATGAATCAACCTCTCAGAGCCTATTTCTTCATGTAAAAATGAAATACTAACAGAGTTTTTGTGAGGATGAAAGAAATTTATGAATCCGGGCAAAGCCCTTGCTTTGCTATTTTTCTAGTTTACATCCCACCTACCTCTAAAATACTTGCAGTAACTGTACACACCTCTCAAGCATGCAATATGAACATAATTTAAGATTCACTTGCAAATTAACCAAAATTATTTATTCACAATAGCACTTATAAAAAGATTTTTTAGAAGAGGGAGTTAAGAAGAAGCAGATCTGAAAAGGAATAAATACATGAGAGAACTGGACTGTCACAAAAACTACGCCAGATACTTTTAGGAGAAAAATATGTACAAGATTACCAAATGGTCCCCATATACTTAAAAAAAAATCCCACTCAACACTGACTAGCGGAGCTGGGTTTGGAAGTTTCTTAAATCTACTACTGTAATTAAGGGCATCTTGCTTTTCTTTTCCCCCTTTCAGTGCTTGACAACATGAAGAAAGCCCTCAAGCTGCTGAAGACTGAACTGTAGAGGGAAAACCAGAGCCTGCAAACTCTTCCCAGCTAGCCAGGCCTCAAGACCGGGACGCAGAGACGGGAGAAGGCTGAAGAGAAGCCCTGGCCAACACGCGCCTTAGATTACGGCTTAACGTTACGCCCACATTTTATTTTTTAAAATTGGCTTCCGGAACACGTGTATGAAAACAGTATCATACACCACTGCAGTAAGCCATGATTTTCTAAAAAATAAATCCTTTTGGAGGTACTTAAACTGGAGGGTTCTGCTTTCAATTTTTCCCAACTGGGTCTTCCACAGAGCAGTTATTCGGTTCACTCCCCAAATAGGACCATTGGGTTCACACAAAATGTTCAGGGAGGGCTCAGGACCAAATTTGTACTGATGAAAAAGAACAAAGTTCTCATCCCACCACGTTACAGATTCTTGCAGTCAAGAGGCATGAAAAGTAATCAATAGACACCTCAACGAGCACATGATCAGCGCAGCAGTGAGTGCAGAAAGGCTTCGCAGGGAATTGGGGTTCCTGGGGAGACACGCCCTCCTTGCCCTGGCCACACGCCTCTGCGCACACTTCAGTTTAGTAATCCAATTTTAGCCCCATTCCATCTCACTTAGTGGTCTCGGGAGAAACCCCGGCAGCCGGCTTTATCATTCCAAAGCCTAATTTAGTGTGAAGGTCATTCAAAGAACATCTGTCCTCCACACCTAAAAAAATCCTGACAGTTGGCCTGGAATCATGTGCTCTCTCAAGGTCCCTAGAGTGCTGGGTCACAGCAAGTTGTCTGAACGGCTTCACTTCCCCATGACCGGGGCACAGACAGTCTGGGGGAAGGACAAGGGGCATGATACACTGGCATGAGGCCGAGATCAGAGGTCCCTTGTGTTGACAAAACGTTGTAAAAGAGTGTGGCTCCAGGTAGGGAAGGAGCTTCAGCTTTTAACTCTATCCTCAGCCCAACAAAAATGACAGCTCGGGCTGGGGAGATGGCTCAGTAGAATAAGTGCTTGTCTGGCAAGCACGAAGTCCTGAGTTCAACCCCCAGTACCATAAAAAAAGAAAAGACAACTGTGTATCACCTTCTTCATCCTGTATTTAATCTCACATACACGATCATGAAGGATTTGTTTTGGGAGGGGTTGGCTCAGGCTGCCATGAAGGCAGGTCTGGTAAGGCATGTGGAACTTGGGATCAAACCATGGTCCCCTGTGCCTGACTGGGTTTGCCAGAGCAGGGGCTTAAACAACTGAGCTAACCCACAAGCCCCCTCACATACACTTATGAAAGTCCTCGATCACCGGACACCACTGCACTGACCTCTTTGGTCCCAGGTTGTGGTGACCCACAGAACACACGGCGCATGACAGCACTGCCTATCTTGGTCAACTTTTCTAGGCAGATCCTTTTCTGAACAGAACTTTTCGACACTAGTAATATTCCCAGGGTAAATAATACATCCAGTGCTTCTCCCTCTCACGTGGCCAATATCACCAGTAGGCTTTTAAGCACTCGTTGTTGATTTCCCAACACACAAATCCTGAGCTAAAATATCACAGAGAAATCAGTCCCTTTGCATAAGCAGGTAACCTATGCTACTGAAAACAGTCAAACCTTCCACCTGGAAAGCTCACTAAGGACCAAGGGGAGAGGGAGGCTTCTTTTCAAAAACAAATAGCTGAGACCTAACCGGAGACTGGGAGACTGGCGTGGTGGCGCACCCCTATAATCCCAGCCCTTCGGAGGCTGTAAACAGGAGAATCAGTACAAGTCAGATCTAGTAGTGAGACCCTGAACATCCTGTAGACCCTTCCCTAAAATACAAAAAAAAGCAAATATTTTGAGTGACAATTTATAGATGAATTGTTTCATTTATAGTATAGCAATATAATGTTTATTTTATGGGCTGCTGGGAAGCAATATTATTAGGTCCTTAAAAATGCACTGACTGACCAGAAAGCAGGGTACGCATACTTACACACCCACGCTCTTAGCAGTGTGAAGCACCATGGCTAAAAGATGAATGTAACCGAAAGGTCTGTTGGTCGAAGCAGGAATGGATAAACTAAGCGTGGCATACATATACTGTGGGGTACAGCGCAGTATTTCCAAAGTAGAGCCTATTACATGCTTAAGAATATGGGGGCCTGCCCCTTAGCTCAGTTCTTTAAGTGGCTGCTTCAACAAAGCAGTCAGGCTCAGGTTGCTGTGGTTCGATCCCCACAACTCAAACCAGCCAAACCTGCCCTGGAGGCATTCGGAACAAAAAACCAAAACAAGAATATGGATGTACGCAGTAGAGGTCATGAGGGCTAAGTGACCTATGCAAGTCACCAAAGGACGAGCAGCCAAGTTCCACCTCTACGTGGTACCTGTTCTCAGTGGGAGGGAGGGCAAGAGAGACAAAGGAGGAACGGGAGTCATCAGGGTGGAGGGATGAGGGAATGAGGACTTCATTGTTTGGTGCATGTGGAGTTTAGGATGGAGAAGATCGACGGTTCTGTACATAGATGGTGGCACAATATGAAAGTACCTAATGTCACTGAACTGTACATTTAAAATAGTCAGAACAAGCTGGGCAGGGTAGCATTTGCCTGTAATCCCAGCCCTTACACTCAGGAGGCTGAGGCAAGAAGATCACTGAGTTTTAAGCCAGCCTCGGCTACATAAAACAAACAAAATAAGCCAGGCATGGTGGTGCATGCCTGTAACCCCAGTACTCGGAGGCTGAGGCAGGGGGGTTACTGCAAATTCAAGACTAGCCTGGGCTACAAAGTAAGTTCAAAGCCAGCCTGAACTGCATAATGAAACTGTCTCAAAAAGATCAAAGAAAAAGAAAAAAATCAAAAGAATATATATTATGCTATATATTTTGTCACAACAAGTATTTTTCTGTTTTATCTGAGATCCCATAGATTACAAAGGAAAAAAAAATCAAAGGACTTAACTTTAAAAAAAATTTTAAAAAAACAATGGTAACATCAATTATCCATGAATGTCACTCACACAGGCAGCCTACAGGCCTGCTGATGCCACCTCCACCTGCTTGAGGAGTTTCCTTTAAATGATCATCTCATCTCTGCCTCTGCTGCCTGGGTGTTTCTTGAGCTCACTAATCCTACAAGGCTCCTAGGGTCCCCCCTATTACAGACCACTGGTGAGACGGGAGCCGGGACAGGAAAAGCTCTGAGAACAGAACCTTCTTCAGGCCAAGAAGCCAGACTTCAAAGTCCAAGCCAAGTCAACCTGACTCATGGAAAGGCCACCTGGGGCGTCTGGACCCCACCTATTTGCAAAAGGCAAGATATGGAAAGTAAGCAAAGGTGACCTCACCCTCCCAGTGGTGTCACAGTCCACTCCCTGACGTGTATTTTAACTCACCAGTGACTCCCTCAAGCCCTCATCTGCAAATGAGTCCCAGAAGCTGGCTTTCCTAAGGAGAGAGCTAAGAAGGAGCTGGCATCAGCAGGGGAGCCGACTGTCCCCTTCCTGCTATCTCATGAGCATTTCAGTGATGACTGATCATCGTGAGCTGGTTTATGCCTTGCATTCTGCCAAAGTGCTACTAGATATGTAATGACACACAGGGGACTGCTATGCTTTTCATCATTTTGTTATGAAATTTTTTACCTGTTCATAATACCAAGTTAAAGAAAAGCTGCACAGGCCCCTGGCTTGCTGCCCCCCATTTCTCTCTTTGGGTGAAGGACTGGCTACCCCCTTAAAGCCCACACATACACACACACACACACACACACACACACACACACACACACGTAGTATCATTCAGCCTGGTGGAAAATCATCAGCTACTCTGAAGCACAGCAACCTTACACAAATCCCCTTGCAACCCAGGAAGCTAGAAGACTATAACTTTGTTGTCATTTCTAATACAACTCTCGTTGGGTGGATCTTGTCCTTACCACCACAAGGAGCACTTTCCTCACGCATACACTGCATCAAAACATGGTCCGAACTTTTCCCTACTTTCGTAGATTAAGAAGAAAAAAGGGGAAAAAAAAAGAAAAAAAAGCGAAACTGCTGTCATGCACTTAGTGTATTTTCAGAAGAATAAAAAAACTTAAACAGTATTAAACAAATATTTAGAGAAATTACAGCAGGCAGTTTGGACGCCAGGGGCTGAGACCTGAGTGTCACACTTCCAGTTTCTGTCCTAACTGGCCCCACTGGGTGCAGCTGCGAAGGTCAAACACGCAGAACTAGCTTTTACACAGAGCACACACTGCTGCTCAGAGCGCTGAGGCTCTCAACTGAATTTAAGCCACTGCGAGCTCTGAATTTAGAAATTACAGTCAAACCCTTTTTCTGTTTCTATTGGCATTATTTTCTCAGCTACATCTTTCCCTTTAGCATCAAGGCTGATTGAAGAAGTGTGCTCAGGTAGGTTCCTTTAGGTGTCTAAACAGAATCAGAAGCGCTTGGCATGCAGGTCATTTTTAAACACATGTGTGGTTTGGATGAAATGACACGCAGGGCACTGGGTTTGCCTTCCAGCCGTTTGCTGAAATGCCAAGCTTCTGAGCGGAAACTGGCAGTCTTCTCTTTCCCGCAGGTGGGACCAGCCTGACCGAACACTCACAACAGGGTCATTCAGGATTCAGGATGGGGGTGTGGGAATACGCCATGGGACGGGAGCAGTGCCTGGATCCACACAGACAGGGATCACATGAGATGTCCGAAAAGGGCCTGGGTGACCCATTCACTTCAGAACTGCCAAAGAGAAAGCCCAGATTCATCTGACAGGGCTGCCCCAGGTGCTGGTGCTTGAAAATATACTCCTATGTTTCTCGAGTAGCTAATCATCAGCTAACCTCCCATTCTTATAATCGTCTGATTTAACAGCCTTAAATCATCCTAACCCAGACTCTGACTTTTACTGGGGCTGACCCAAATAAAGCCACTGCGGTCAGAACACAGACCAAGGGTGTGGGTTGGTTCTCTTCAGAACAGCCCTTTCTACACAGAATCATTTGGACCAGGAAAAGTATTAGGAAAGTCCAGAACCTAATAGGATTTTGAAATGGGAAAATAAAGAAAGCTTTAAAAGAAAACAGAATTCAAGCTTTTCTTCATGTGTCTCTGGAGAGCTTAGCTCTGATGTAAGTTAGAACCCTCCTAGAATCACCTCAGAGCTCAGTAAGACATTCTAGAAATAGATCTGCTACCACCACACAGCCACCAGAGTGGCCTGCCCACAAAACTCCCTAAAACCCTGAAGATCAACCATTTGCTGTTCTTGGTCTAAAACCTAACGATGGGAAAGTATCACATGAAATCTAGGGTACAAGACAAGAAAGGACTTATTCATTGGAAAGGACTTATGTATTTTCCCCAGGTATGAAGGATTTCTTTTAAAAAGGAATAGAAAAGAAACAATTTTGCACCATGCACACAATATTCACCACTGAAATATTTTAAGAAAAGGTTTGGGGATAATTAGCAACAGACACTAAAATGCAGAAAGTTCATTTTCATGGTTTGATTATACACTAAAACAGCAACACCCAGCTTAAGTCAAAGACGGAAAATAAAAGAAATCCAACTAACATCATCAACTTTCATTATCTTCTTTTAATGCAAATATGGATGCACAAAGAAAGATTTCCATCTTTTAATTTTTTAACTTTAAATATACAGAACCACAGTACTACTTCCATTTCAAATTATGGGGGTTATCACATTCAAATATGCTTGAATTTGACAAGCTGTTGTTACAATGCTGAGAAATTTCATGAAAAAGTTATTTAACAATTTTTAAGATAATCAAATATCTTTCTGCTACATGGGCCAATGCGGTAATAGTAAAATTATTTATAAATGCAGTCTTTTGGAGCTCAAATTATTAAAAAAGACTATCGAAATTATGTAGATATACCTTCTGAAAGTCATTCCATTTTGAAGGCTGAAGATAAATGTTTATACTTTGGAACATTTCACGAGATCCTCTTCTTTGCACTTACCGGTGAAAGTCAAGAACAAAACCACAATTTCCTAAACACACAGCTTTTTCTACAATACAAGGGTGTAATCATGAAAGAGTACTAGATCTAAGTTATCACTTTTAACACTTTTCACCACAACACATCTTTCCTAAAAGACAAAAAATATGGGGAATTTAGATTTCCCTTACTGAATTTAACACTATAGATGCGCCGATATTCTGTCCTTAGTAATATCAACTCTTTCCAGTGGGAATTATCTACACAGCACAGTGCTACATACAATTATTCCAGTGAAATGCAGATTCAGTTTCACAATATGGTCAACAGAGTAGTGTCATACAAAGGATTTCTGCAGATAAAAATGCTAAGGCAGGCCACAGTGGACAGTGCCGGACACTGTGAATACAGCAGGTTACGGGTACCACTGAGGGTCAAAAGAGACCATGAGTTTCCATGTTTTTTTTTTTTTTCAGCAATGGAAAAAGAAAAACATAGAGAAATGTAAGAATAAACAAAATAATTACACCGTTGGTAAATGTAATTTTTCAGACACTGTTTCCTTGATTAAATGGGCAAAATAGTTTAACTTAAAACTAGAGAAAATGGACAAAGTCAGGAGAGGAAAGATTTTCCTGGTTTCTTCATCAAAGGAATGCGCTAGGGTTAGCACGAGGATCTTTCTGGTTCCTGTACCTGTAGGTCAGCCAAACACCCAGGATCTGGATAAAAAGAAGAAGAAGAAAAAAGTGAAGTCTGTGTACATTTGTTATCAATAAAATAACCCTGGATCTTCTCAATAGCTTTGCTCTCCCATCACCCAAAGGGAAAAGATTTTCTTTTCTTTTCAAATAAATTAAGTGAATCAAAAAGATTACTGGAAAAATTAAAATATGAACACTGTGTGGTAAGGGGTACAGCTGCTCCCCAAGGATATCCACACCATCAGCCCCAGAAACCAGGAAGACAGACGCCGCTGCATTCCAGAGCAGCGCAGAGTCTGTAGGCGCCATGAGGTCAGAGCAAGACTGTCCAGGTCAGGCGAAGGTGTGATCACAGGGCTCCGAGTCAGGACAGCGCAGAGAGAAGGCAACATGGCGGCCTGACCGAGAGGCAGGGTCAGAGAAGGAAGGGGAACCTTGATATTCTTTCCCACACTTTGTTAATGATAGCCAAATATACATTTTTCATTCTTGAGGAGAAAAACTAAATTAAAAATAAGATCTATAAAATGTACATACACATACATGTATACTATACTACACACTCATCATAGACGCATACAAAATGTGCACACTATATACACAAACACAACCCATACATTCTTTACACATTTTACACATAAACACATGAAGCATCAAAATGAGAAAGGGCTTTCTAAGCACATCAAAGGGGGTGTGGGCAATAGATCTGTCTGCAGTAAAAGTAAAATCTCCAAATTTAAAAATCCAAGTCATAAAAATAAGGTAAATACCAAAAATCTTGAATGCAGAACTAAGCAAAGTGTATAGAGAGGATGTACTAGATTGCGACAAATTGGAAGAGAAGGAGAAGGGAGGGAGGAGGGAGGGAAGGAGGGAGAGAGAGAGGGACGGGAGGAAGGGAAGGAGAGATGGAGAGGAGGGAGGAAGAGAAGGAGAGATGGAGAGAAGGATGGAGGAAGGGAAGGAGAGATGGAGAGGAGGGAGGAAGGGAAGCAAGGAAGGAAGGAAGGAAGAGAAAGTTTAAGAAACAGGACGTAGGAGGCAGCAGGGAAGAGGATCCCCTGGCTTAGTACTATGGGGCTCCAGTCCTGGAAGCGCCCTGGCAGACTCAGAGATTCCACTGTTTTGCATATTCTATTTTGAATTTGTACTTGCACCCTGAAGAGTTTCAAATAAGACAAAAATAAATGGGGACCTCATCAAAAAATGTAACAGTCAAAAAACATAGGAATGCTAGGCCAAACTATTACCCACTTTTCTGAAAGAGCAAACAAGAATTCAATTATTTTTAACCTATCAAATTGATAATTGTTTTATAATAAAAATGGGTAGAGCTAGTGCTGGAATCAAAACTTGCTAGACTTCTCCCAGAAGGCAACCTGACAATTCAGTATTAAGAAATGTACCCATATGATGTCATATTTTACATTTTAAAATACATTACAGAAGAGACTAAGGGATAGATGAAACGTTTCCTACCCACCAGTGGCCTGGAATTATTTGTTATAGAGGCATAACAAAAGGAAAATTAAAATATAACAGGTTCAATGAACACATAAAATTTCAACTACATAATCTCTCTTAGGATTTTTTCTGAATTTCTTTCAAAGATACATGTTTACTCTCACAAATAGCCTACTGTATAACTTCTCTATCACACAGTGCTAGGAGAATTATGTGATGCATGTTACCCGTTATCTATTCAGAACAGGATTATGGCAGTGACCTTTACAGCATGACAATAATAGGGCTCTCCCCGGATATTACATAGGACTTTATAGATCAATAATTAATTAATGACCACAAAACCACAGCTAACACAGAACACAGCACCTGCCGCATACCAGGTACGACTGTAGAAATCACAAGATTTACATCTCGCAATCCCTTTAATTATAACAAGAACCCTGTGACACAGGGCCTGTTGTGACACTGTTCTCATCTCTAAAGACGGGCAGGCCACTTGCTTGACGTCTGGGGTTTCCAAGCAGACTACCTTAGCCACATGCTCCTGTGTAACACCCTTTCACATACCCAGCACACTGCTGCACAAGATCTGATCTAAAGGGTTCTTGTTACATATCCTCATGTACTCATTATCCATAATTATACCTTTATCGCTATGAAGTAAGATACTAGGGCTTATGTGTTAGAGACAGAAAATGTTAATGCTCATTCCTACTGAGCACTCAGAAGCATCAAAGGCCACCCACAGACACTAGGACTATTTTTGTATTTATTTCTGTATTTTTAGGGAAGGGCCTACAGGGTGCTCAGGGTCTCACTACTAGGTTGGACTCGTAGCGATCCGCCTGTTGGCAGACGCCCAAGAGCTGGGATTACAGGCGCGCAGCACCAGGCCCAGTCTCAGATGCCCTCTCAGTGCATCCTGGGGGTCGGGGCTGGCACAGCAGGCCTGGAGATCGAACCCCCGGCCCCTGCGCCTGCTTGCAGGCACTTTAATCTGCTGAGCTATTTGGCCGGTCCTTGATATTGTGAGTTTAATAAAGCCACTGCGCCAGGCACAGTGACACATGCTTGCATGCTCAGCACTTGGGGAAGCTGAGATAGAGAGTTCAAGGCCCAGCCTGTGCAATGCTAAATATAAATGCGACAAAAGAGAGTGCAGAAAAAAAACAGGCTGACCTCATTTTCTGTATTCACTAAGTTTTACACCTAAGATATGACATGTTCATGCACCGATCCCTCAAAACAAATGTAATTATTATGATGAACATTTACTAATTGAAAAAAAAACACCTCAAAATGTAAAAAAAAAAAAGATATAAATTGACATCTGAGGAAACAGAGCAAATACCTCATGTGGCCAACAAGTTAAGGTAAGCTCCATCAGACATTCTTTTTTTTGTGGTACTGCACATTGAACTAAGGACTCTGCACTTGCCAGGCAAGTACTTATTCCACTGAGCTATCTCCCCAGCCCATAAAAGTTGAGAAGATTTTATTTATTTGTTTATTTATTTTTTTGGCTGGCTCAGGATGCCTTAAGGGAAGGTCTGGTAAAGCAGGAGGATCTGGTGATCAAGCCACAGTATCCTGAGCCTGACTGCGTTTGCATAAGCAGGCCCTTACACAACCGAGCCAACCCGCAAGCGCCCTCAATCAGACACTCTGATTCCAAGCGTGGAGACCTCTTGTGAGCCCCAGATCTCAAGGACAACATTCATACACGTCCTCCAAAAACATAGGTGCCAGGCTACCATGCAATGTCATGCGCTCATGCCACACAAAGAAGACTCCTTGTGACTCAGGAAAATACTGTTATTTACACGTACCTCTGTGAAACTGAAGAAGAGGCCAATGCCACCAACAAATCTCAACACCGCTCCGGCATATCTTCCTATTATTGGAGCGCACGGTGGGCACGGATGGCCATCTTTAGCACACTTCTGTTATCAGTTAAACAAAAGGCCTGTTATGTTGAAGTACATTTATAAAGAGCATGTAACAACAGCACAGATGCCAAATTAGGGTCCAGCTGTGCACTGTGTGAACTTTCCAGATGGCCCCAGGCATACACACCCCAGGCATGAGCCTCTGTGGCCAGGCCTGTGACATGATAGAGCCAAGCCCATACTTAGGTTGGATGCTATATGACTCCAACTCGCTACAGTGGAGATTCCTGTGCAAACTTGGCTACTGTCATGCTCAACCACCAAGAAAATAGGGCTAATGGTCTTACCACAAGGAACTGATTCTACCAACAACCACTGAGCTGCGTAGAGCATCCTTCCCCTCCTGTGAATGCCATCCTTGACCAACACCTAATCTCAGTCTCGTAAGACCTGAGCAGACTTGGCTAACCACATGCAGCTTCCTGACCCAGGAAAATGGTGACATAATGCATGGGTACTGTTTTAGGCCATGAAATGTGTTATACATGAATGGAAAATTAATGCAGACTCCTGCAAAGAAAGAATGTCACAACTGACGCCTCTCACTGGGAGGGACCTCCCGCTCAGGATTCAGAGAATTCTCAGAATGATAAACACATGAACTTCTGAACTGAGCCCAGCCTGAGTCTGTCTTCACAGGACTAGGGCTGAAGCTTGGCAGTCAGGGCTCTGGCCTAAGGCAGGAGTTTGGTTCTAACTGGTCCATCAGTAGTGTACCTCCAAACGCAAAGGGTATGGAATTGTGCAGGAGGGAATGGAGAGAGCTCTTTGCCTTCGAGGTATTTAGCTAAGAAGCCCAGCTCAGTAGAGATCATTCTCAAGACAAGAGGCTCCCTCTAAATCTCTATGATTGATCTATTCTCTACTATTCTCTCTCAACTTCTTCTCAGAAGAGTCAGGTAGGAAAGAATTATGGGCAATAAACCAAAGTTGTGCGTCTGACTGAGCTCTGGAATATTCAGCACCCCAAGGACATCTGAGAAAAAGCAAACCCTATACTAATGTGTTTGAAAATATAATAGGCCTATGTAGAACAATTTTGAAATACAATTCAGCATCAGAAAATCCATTTCTCCCAGGCCAATCATTTTGAATTTGTATAATGCATTCCTTTAAAAAAATAATCTCTAAACTTGACTTACAGCCAGGCAGGTGTCATTTGAGTTAAAACTTTGGAATCCACAGCAGTCTAAATTTCTCTGGATGTCATTGTGAGCGCTTGCGGTGTTGTTCCAACCAACCTCCAGAAGCTGCCTCTAGGAAACGCACGTAACACAGAAATTAAAATGTGTCCTCGCTGCATAACATCCACAAACTAGGCCCTGTAGCTTTTAATATCTTGAGTATAAGAAATACCATCCAAAAGAACACTAAGACTTTTCAAAGGCTTATCCTCGAATCTGTAACAAAAATTAAATCATTATTTCTACCCCAGGAATATCTTAATTTTTACATGCAATTAGAAAGAAGCACTTGGTTCACAGACATAATTCTTGTAACAAGGGAAAGTTTCTGCTGTCCCAATCTAGAAAGCCCTATTTTTCTCTAAGAACTATTATTATTATTTTTTTTTTCTTTTGATGGAACTGGGGATTAAACTCAGGCCCTTGCGCTTGCCAGGCAAGTGCTTATTCTACTGAGCCATCGTCCTGGCCCCTCTATGCCCTATTTCTTTATAAGTTGAAGCCTGAAAAGACGAACTGCTCAAATGGAACCTCAGCCTGCCTAGAGCAAATCACTCCCTGCACGGCAGTGGGCAGGGTCTTGCTGAACAGCTCTTGGCAGTCGTACTTTTTACCCAGCGAGCCCTAAACCCACTTAAAAGACAAAAATGCAGCGACACCTCAGTCTCTTGCCTCCGTCTGCCCTGCGAATGCAATCAGGTTTTGCTGCTCAGGAGAAACGCGCCAGTTTAAATTCTAATCACTGCACCCCGCTTCTTGTGCTCACGCGCTGGCGGTATGATAAAGGACAGTCGCAGGGCAAAAGCCTACTCACCTGTTGCTCCTGACTCAGGGCCAAACAAGCACAGGACACAGAAAACTGAACAATAAATACAAGTAAGAGAATAATCATATACTGAGAGTTGAAAGTTAAGGATATTTCTAAATGTTCTTAAAATAGCCGAAGGCAGAAGTACTGGTACAATTTTAAAATGCACAGAAGCAATTTACTGAGAAAGCAGAACAAACAGCACTTCAATTTCTAAGAGGATACACAGTAATTATTTTGGTAAAACACTGTGGCTTTAAAGTTCATAAATATAAACAGATTTAGTGTTAGAATGCCATTCAGAGTGAAATTCTTACATGTATAAACTAGGAAATAAGTATAAATGTCTGTACACTTATTAAATTTTAAGTACAAATATATATATTTTTTCCCTCAAACCAGTATTAGAATGTTGGAAAGGGACCAGAGATCACTGAATCGGTTCCATTCAACTCTGAATTTGCAATATATAATTAGGACTACACTGAACTTGCAGAATTCTTTATCCTTGAAATGAGTGGGAATGTTGAAACATGCAGCTACTTACCCTCAAAAATGTCCCTAATGTTGGTTGAACAAATAATACACCTAAGGCTCTACCTAGCAATTAACTTCATAATGAAATTAAATTAGCTGTAGCCATCAAGAGAGCAATCAACAGCCAGGATAAACTCAATCAGTATGGTAAACATCCCCATTTTAAGAAAGGATACAAAAAACAGCAATACCTGATGGTGTTTGACAGCACCGATCAGCCCCACCAAGGCAATCAGGAACAGGAAAATACCCACAGCGATGGCCACGCCGACCACTCGGAGACTGGAAATCAGCCCGAAGCCGATGCCCCAGGCAGCAATCCCAATTAGCAACAGGCTAACCAGCTGCCAAACCAAGGAGAAAGGGAGGGTCAAGTTATATAATGTCAACACTTTTAGGTTAAGTCTTAATATCATTCAATAATTACTTACAGTCAATACAATCCTGCCTCGGCATTCTACTAAAGGACTGGTTACAGGGCCCCTCTCACAGATACAAAAATCCAAGAACGTGCAGTTTCGTACACAAGGGAGAGGATTTGTATATGGCCTCTATCTTCTCTATATACTTTTAAATCATCTTCAGATTACTCATCATCCCAAAAACTGTATCAATGCTCTGTACGTAGTTTCTATACTGCATTAGCATGGGAATAACAAGAGTAAATGTCCACGGGGCAACAGTTTCACCAACTTTCTCTGACCACAGTTGGTTGAATCTGCAGTCATCTCTTTTCCTAAGCCTAAACACAGCCTACTTAAGAATCGTATGCATAAAACTTCTAAAACCCCTCTAAGCCCAACATCCTGACTTCTTGACATGCAAATTCTCTTTCCCTGCAAAGTCCAAATAAAGGACTGAATCCTCCCCTCAGCAATTTGTGTTCTTTGAATGCGGTTCTACAATGCCCAGTGTCACCTTCCCTTGTTGTTTCCAAGCCTGTCTCCAGGAAACTGGAAGTACCCTGAGAGTAAGGGCTCATGTCATCTTCCTCCCTTGTCCCCTAAACCCATCACAGGCCCCAGTTCTTGGGAAAGACTCACACCAGTTCTCAGAGCTATTGCGAAAAGGCAATGCTTTAGATGTCATTATCTAGCACACTGGAATTCATGATAGATAAGATAGGTAAGACAGACAGACAGACAGACAGACTGCTCGGTACCACTGCAACTTCTAGTGGAATATTAAAGAATTTAGCCATTTAAAATGAAATGCCATTCTGAGCAAAAGGAAATTATTTTATACTAGTTCAACCGCTCTGCTTCTACTTAGTCAAATACGAACTGGTGAACAAGTAAAATGTCTAATGGTTGGAGCCTGTAAAACTTGTCTCCTAAGGCCACGTGATGCTACAATTCCCCTTCTGGAGGAATTAAAATGTAAAAATATACATATTCTCCCTAACACTAGGCGAAGGCCTAATAAATCCTATTTACAAATGTAAAAATCACCACCTACTGAATGGATGTTTTTCTGCTCAGATGTGTAGCCTTTGACATGCAAAACATTTTAGCGAGGTTTTACATTTCCTAGTATATAAACCTACACATGTGGAGATATAAGCGAACTGCTAAATACTGCGCATCCACTGGCACTTTTACCCAATTCTTAGAATACTTTTGCCAAAGCGGCAAACCTTGAGGGTGAAGGAAGCCATCTGCAGCGCCGGAGGACCAGGGTTCGGAGCGGTGGACCTGGGAGCCCCTACTGCCGCCCCACAGAGAAAGCTTGGGTTCCAGCGCAAGAAAGGCGGGATGACGCTCCCACAAGTTCTGCCACGCGGAAATGCGTCTGCCTCCTTTCTCGGCTGCTCCTTATCTGCAAGCACATTTCCTTCTCTTTAGCGCTATCATCTCCATCTTCTCACGGCCTTAAACAATTCTGCAGTGAGAACGAGTCCTCGGCCCCTTCACAAGGGAACCTATTTCTGACTTCACGGCATCCAAATATAACTCGCTTCCCTTCAGGAGCTGAAAAAGGCAAAAGGCGGAGGAGGTGCGAAGGAAGGGCGGGAGGGCCCTGCCCGCAGGGAACGCAGCCTCCCTGCACGCGGCAGAGGCTTCAAGGGGCGCGCAGGGGTCGCGAGAGAAATGCAAGCAATAGGAAACAGCGGCCATTAGTGTCGGTATTTATCCGTCAAGAGAAAATGATAGAAATCTTGAAGAACTAGCTCGTGGGGCTGGGGTGATAGCTTGGTGGTCTAAGCGCCTGCCTGGCAAGTGCAAGCACCAGAGTTCAAAACCGAGCATGGTGATGCAGGTCTGTAATTCCAGAACTAGGGAGGCTGAGGCAGGACGATCACTACCAGCCTGAGCTGCATAACAAGACCCCTATACCAAATACATACGTACGTACATACATACATGCAATTTTTTTTAAAGGTTTTTTTTTAAAAAAAAGAAAGAACTGGCTCATACAATTTTGGTGACTGGTAAGTCAGGAATTTCAGGGAGGCCAGTAAGCTAGCAACTTGGGCAGAATTCCTTTTTTCATTTTCCAGCAGTGGGGGTTGATCACACGGAGCTCCGCCCCCATCCCTTTTTTTCTGAGATGAGGTCTTACTTCCGATCAGTGAGGCCCCTCCGCACTGCAGAGATAATCTGGTTCACTAACAATTGACTGGCAGTTCATGTCACCTTCAGGGTTATTTCTAGACTAGTGTTTGACCAATCCAGTGAACTCTACAGCCTATCCCTGAGCTAATATCAAATTAACCATCCCACTTGCCAACACTAAGTCCTGAATGTGATGCTTTTCTTTGATTACAATAAATGCAAATTATGCATAATCATGGTTTTCATTATGACATTTTTATATATGTATATAACACAGTTCAATCTCCCCACATGGCTCTCCCTTCCCCTCCCTTCCCCATCCCCTATTTCTTCTTCCCCTTCTTTTATTCTATGTTCCTATCTTTTTTCTCCTCTGGATTCCAGGTATAACAGGAAGCATGCAGTAGCTGTCTACATCTGGTTTATTTTGCTTAACATGGAAGTCTGCAGTCCTACCCAGTTTCCTGCAAATGACAAGACTCCCTTTGGACCGAACAATGCTCCACTCTGCGTGCTGTCCTCTGTATCTAGATGTTCCCCCTAATGCCTCAAGCAGTCCCAGGTGGGGCTTTCCTGACAAGGCTGTATCAAAAGTGGGTATGCTGGGATTGGCTCTTGGCCCAATGCTAGGACTGAGAGTGTGAGTGCTACCCACTGAGCCACCTGGATGAAATATAAGCCTCAGAAAGAGGGCTGCTGCCATTGCTGCTTGATGGCTGCTGCTTGCTGCTGGCTGCCTTCTGCCTGCCCTGCTTTGCCATGTTTCCCTTCTGCAATGGCCCTCCGCCAAGTCTCTCTTCCCTAGAGCCAGCTGACATGGACTAAAATCTCTATGAACTGAGAGTTAAATGAACCTTTCCACCTCTAACTTCGGGTAAAAGGTATTTTGCCTCAACACCAAGAAAAGGAACTAAGGCAAGGCATACACACATCTTCTTTACCAGATGTGGTATCTACTTATTAATTCAATTAAATTCACAGACAAAACTGTATCACTCTGTATTTCATTCTACGACTCATACAGACAAAGATTAGATGCATGAATAATCTGGCATCAAAAATTCTAATCCCAGGTCAGCAAGATAGCTCAGCAGATTAACATGCCTGTTTAGGCAGACACAAGGACAGGATTTGATCCCCAGCATGCTGTACAGACCCTGCCCCTGGGGTGTGCTGAGTTGGCCATTGAGACTGGGCATGGTGGTGCAGGCCTGTAATCCCAGGTTTGGGAGGTTGAATACAGGAGGATCACTATGAGTCCGATCTGTGTAATGAGACCCTGTAGATCCTGTACTAAATACATTTTTTAAAAAAAATTCTAATCCCACACAGCATCATAGAATCCTGTGAGGAGACATTCCAAATCCTTGCTACATTAACAAGTTGTTAAGTTCTTTATTAAGACTATTAAAAGTTAAATATTCCTAAATGCTAAAAGTTAGTTATTCATCTACAATGGCTGGTGCTCATTATGTGCTAAAAGCCAGAGATAAAGAAATCCCTGCGAGACCAGAAGCCAGAAAATTTACAGGTCAGATATGTACTCTCTGCCTTTCTGAATCATTCGGGCCTTGCCACAACTATGCAATTCTGACCCTGTACACAAAAGCAAAGATAAAATACATAAATGAATGGCCAGGGTTATATTCCAGTAACACCTTATTTTTAAACACTAAAATTTAAAGGTATGTAACTTTCATGCATTACAAGATATGATTGCTCTTTTGAGTTTATTAACTATTTAAACATGAAACATTAGTCCCTAGTGAGCAGGCTATACAGAAATGGGCAGTGCGATGGTTCTGGCCAAGGGATTTGGTTTGCTGACCTTTGTTTCCGAAGTCAGTAGAGCAGGAAATGAAAGATTACAATAAGACAAGTGATTGCTTCAGTAGAAAGAGGCTTTACAAAGTAGGTCAGGATCAAGAGAATAGGCTAAAGACGGCAAGGAAACAACAGGGGAGCAGGCAGGATAAACTTAGGAAATAAGCCCCTGTGCATATTACCCACTACAGAAAAGGGATGAATACAATTTACACCAAAATAAGAATCCTAAAGAGTTTATCCTGTGTGTCAGGTGGGCCACAAATGTCACCGTGAGCATCTTTATAAGAGGAGGGCAGAAGGAAATCAGGGAGATACACACACTAAGGAAGTCACGCACACACAGAGTAAAATAAAGTGAAGTAAGGCAGAGAGTAATGCGGCCACAAGGAAACAGCTGTGGGAGGCACCACAGCTAGTAGAGGCAGGCACGGAGTCTCCCCGGGGCTCCCCAGGAAACCTCGAGCAGCCAGCACCCTGAGTTTAGACTTCTGGTCTCCAGAACCGGGAGCGAATACGTTTCTGTTGTTTCAGTCGTGTTGTGGTAACTTCCCACGGAAGCCCTGGGAAAGAAGTAAAGAACAACTCCTCCACTTGGAGTTGGGCAAGTCAGGCCCCTGGGACCACTGCTGAGACTGCCTGCTTGGTGTCTGCCCACCCGTGAAGCCCCTACAGAAGCGGTGTAACAACTGGGTGTCTTCCTCAGCACCTCTCCCACAATCCAAACCCGTAAAACCGACAGTATCTCAGCAAATGAAAAAAGGGCTCTATGCTCACTCTGTTGCCAACAAAAAGCTCACTGAGGACAATCTTTTCCCTGAAGTTGTGTTTTTTTAAGAGCGTCTCCCAATGTTGCCCGGAGAGTGATCCTCCTGCCTCAGCCTCACTGACTCCTGAGCTCGAGTGGACACAGGCCACTGCACCCAGCTCCAAAAAGGAATTTCTACAACCAAAAAGCAGGAAAA